TGGACTGCAGGTTTCACGAAGTTCTGAGAAAAATTAGTACAGCAAATTCTCCTCAATTCCAGTTTGTAAACGAAAATAGACAATTTGGGAAAGGGAGATATTTTATAGTTGCCGATTGCCAACAATTGTAAAAACAAGGTGCGAGGCTCGAATGATCGTGTCTCCTCTTCCCAAACTGCCCATTTTTGTGCACAATCTGGGCGTCAATTAGGGAGACATTACTGTATTCGCTGATGCAGGCGAGGTTGTCATTTCGAATGGGAAAGTTTCGAGCGTATAATGACCCGCCGACGCTGATAGACGATGATGGAACGATCGAAAAACCGTTCCACGTTTCGATATCGCGTTTTTTTCGGTTGCATCCCGGTTGCAACGCGAAGTCGATTGTTCGCCGCGTCGGTGGATCCGAAGGTAACGGTTTGCTAGGATTTGAAAGTGTAGAGAAATGTCCGCGCGGCTGACAAAAAACAAATACTCTCGAATGGAAGCGTCGTTATCGCTTACGCGATTGGATGAGAGGGGGACGCGTAAAAATGCAAGGCCATTTTGACGTGGCTGTTTGCTACCATGGTAACTATAAATATACCGCTCGAACGACGAACCGCGAAACTGTTTGCATTATACGATCGCGTGTGTTGCCTCTCCCTCTTGTATTTTTCTTTCCCAACACCGATGCACGTTTTCCACGCGTATATCTTTTGTATTGCTTATATGCTTTTCGGTGGGACGCGGCCGACGAAGGAGATAGAATTTAAATGCGAATACGCACCACGAACAAACACGGAACTAGGGCGATCGGTTTCGATCGTTCTCTTGTTGAAATATATTCTTCACGATTTCCTTTCACGCGTTGAATACCAACACGGTCAAATACCAGCGACAATAACTTTTTACTAGCTTCCAAAATTGAGATTTTTTGAAATATATTGGACCGAATTAGATAGTTAGCTGCTGTTAGGCGAGTATACTCGTCAGTATAGTAGCTCTTCTCGTCGTGGAGAAGTGACTGTATTTTGTGTCATGACGAGTACAGTCGTCGTGGGGGTACTTTCTGTAATGACGAATATACTCGTCATGGAGAAGTGGCAGTACTTTTTGTCACGAAGAATTTTGTGTCATGACGAGTATGCTCGTTGTAGAGAATTGACAATATTTTGTGTCAGGATGAGTATAGTCGTCATGGAAAAGTAGCAGTATTTTGTGTCATGACGATTATACTCGTCACAGAGAAGTGACAATATTTTGTGTCACGACAAGTATACTCGTCACGGAGAAGTGACAGTATTTTATGTCACGACGAGTATGCTCGTCATAGAGAAGTGACAATATTTTATATCACGACGCATATACTCGTCGTGCGTAAAAAGTAGTGTCGAACTCATTTTAAAACTTGAAGCCTTTACTTTTAAAATTAATCGTTCATTCTTTCTTGATTTTCTCGTACACGATACAGTCGAGAGAAAACTGAAGACACAGTGTCATTCGAAAAAGCTACAAATTGAAACATCTCCAAACAGATCGAGGAATTTTTTTCAGGAACGAATCTACCATAAATTTGAAGATTAGAGCTTCCTCTTTGCAACGAATCCTCGAAACTTGTCAAGCGAATTTTTCTAGTTGTTTTGTATAACAAATTATAGACCCTAGGTAATTTTCATCTGACTCATTAGTTTATTCCAAAGCGGCCGTATTAGCAATAAGTCTAACCTAAAAAATAAGAGAAAAGGTACATAAAAGAACATGTGATTTCCGAATGTGACAGTGTTATCCCTGCGCTTTCCCCTTTGTTTATACCGAATGTAGATATCGTGGGAAAAAGTGATTTGAAATTCCAATCGTTGTCCCTCTATTTTCTATGAAGTTACTATACGTGGAAAAATTGAACGGCTTCGAGTGGCGAGAATGCAATTTTAAGAATTTTTTTTTTCAACGCAACAAGTGAAAGGATCGTTCTGAAAAAATACCGGAATATTTTCCAACCTTTTACTTGAATAGGGAGGAAAAAAATGTACTTTCCGCTAAAAAAATTGACGAGTCGGAGAGCCAGCGACATTTTCGAATTCGCGTCGACCGGTGCGTAGTTTAAAAAATTCAGCGAACGTAAGGCGAGAACGTCGGGGTTTCGAGGAAATCGAGTTTCCAAGATAATAATTACAGTAATGTTTCCCTTACTGACGCTCAGATTGGCCACAAAAATGGATAATTTTGGAAGAGGAGATACGATTATTCGAGCCTTGCTGCACGTTTTTATAATCGTTGACAATTCGTAAGTATAAAAAAGCTCGAATAATTCTCAAATTCTCCATTTTTCTGCACAATCCGAGCGTTAATTACGGAGAATTTATTGCAGTCCGGAGTCGATAGTAACGCCGACTTTCAAATGTAACCATGCGATGGCTATTGATTTACAACCGAACTCTTTACACAAAAAAATGCTATCTCCTAAAAAAATCTCCTCTCCCTAAATTGTCCATTTTCGTGGGCAATCTGAGCGTCAATTAGAGAGACATTACTGTACAGTAATGTCTCCCTTACTGACGCTCAAATTTACAACTGAACTCCTTACACAAAAAAATGCTATCTCCTAAAAAAATCTCCTCTCCCTAAATTGTCCAGTTTCGTGGACAATCTGAGCGTCAATTAGAGAGACATTACTGTAATCCGCGTTAACGTAGTCCCTGCGAAGCAATCGCAGACGCGTAACCAGGAATGCACAGCCGAGCGCAGTTTATCCACGGATAAATTCTGTTGTTTACTGTTTTTTAGTGGCCCGTTATGCGCGAAAGTGCGATATTTGAAATTCAAGTGCGCGCCGTGCAATGGAGAAAAGAAAGTTGCACGCACGCAGTCAGTTCCATGTCGCAGGACTTTTGCGGGGGATTCGTCTTCGGGGAACCATCCTTCTGAAATTGAGATTCTCCTGGAGGCGAAGCCCGGCGATTCGCTCGGGAGCGAATCGCGAATTACGCGATCCAATTAACACGTTTACTTTCGCGTCGGCCGTATCCCGCAAACGAATGTTCTTCACCTGTCCCATTCTTCGGACGAGATATGCATCTCGCGAATCGATGTCGTTCATTTGCTCGCCGAATAGTATCTCGTCCACGCGAAAAGGTTAATGAATCGCTGATCCGCTAATTAGCCGCCGCGCTGTGCGCGCGTCAATAGAATCATGCAACGTACAAAATTCAGCCGTTTTGTTATCCCAGCAACATAAGATTTTCAATGGTAAATAGACCGCGGACCTTCGAACATTTGTAGATCGTCTTTGTGCAAAATATTCGTTCAATAATAATAATAATAATAATAATAATAACAGCAGTAATAATAATAATAATAGTAACAGTAATAATAATAGTAATAGTAATAATGATAGTAATAATAATAATAATAATAGTAATAGTAATAATGATAGTAATAATAATAATAATAATAGTAATAGTAATAATAATAATAGTAATAGTAATAGTAATAATAATAACAATAATAATGATAGTAATAATAATAATAATAATAGTAATAATAGTAGTAATAATAATAATAATAACAACAACATATGAATAATAATATATTATCATAATGAATAATATTCGCAAATTTAATATTCAGTTAATATTTTTCTCAGTTCTTTGTCGGAAAGCTTTATTAAAACTCCAGAAAATTGCGTACATTTTATTTAAATTAATTTATTATTTTGAACGTAATACAGAGAAAACCGTTTTATATTGTACGAAATTTCTCTAAATCGTTTTGAAACGAAGAAGGAAAGGTAGCTTTTTTATCGTGGCAAATTGCCTGATATTTTAGTCGAATGAATTTATTTGTACTGGACCAGGAGAAATGATTCTACTTATGGTCTGTGACTTCTTCTCGCGTAACTGGCCTACATCTATCTTCAAAATTATTCTTGCTACAACCATTCCCACGGAAGACCCTGGTAAATCTACCTATTCCAGCAAACGAAACATATTCCGTAGAAGCAGACGGTGGCGATGTAATGTCATATACATATATGTGGCGCTTTTATTAAAAGCGAAATGACGTAGATCAACATTTATTTAAATAGAGAGCATAATATCATTTCAACGGATAATCGAATAACGAAACGATCTAGAGAATAATCATTTCCACGTGTGAAAAAGTTATCGTGAAAAATAACGTTTTAATTTTCGAAATGCATTATCTGAATAATGTCCAAGCCTTGCACGAAACATCTGGTATAATAATTCATTATTACACTAATTATTATAAAACTGTGTACGTTTCATTTAGTTAAAAATTAGTTCATTTAGTTCAAAAAAGTTCAATTACTTCATTTAGTTCAAAAAAGTTCTATTAGTTCATTTAGGTAAAAAAAGTTCAATTACTTCATTTATAGTTCAAAAAAGTTCAATTAGTTCATTTAGTTCAAAAAAGTTCAATTAGTTCATTCAGGTCAAAAATGTTCCCACGACAAAGTTTTAGACAATTTTTTTTCATTCCAAGCATACATTATAATAAAAATCGTACGCAGTTTAAGTAAATTTAATCTAGTCATTACAACACAGTCATTATAACGATACATTAATCTAATGCTCGGTACTCCCAGCATTAAAGCAACAGATAAATAAACATTCAACAGCATCGACATCTTAGCCGGAAAAAATGTTTAAAGCGGCAATACAAATTCTGAGCAACTCATCTTTCGCTATGGAAACATCTGAATTTTCCTGAAAAGATCCCGCGGTCTATCGATTACGCATTAACCTCGTTTTATTTATCTTACTATTTCCGGTACAGTATCGCTGATAAAAGCCGCGGCAATTAGGCGAGCACAATGCGGGGGTCCGAATTATAGTTGATTGGAAAACTTGGCACAAGATATTTCAATTAACGCGATCCATCAAGTCCGCCGCCGCGCGCGCGCGCGCCGTCCGGCTGTTTCGCGGACTCCCATGGGCGCGACATTAATTAAAACTGCGGCAACAAGCTTCAAATATTATATTAGATATCGTACTTACCACCTTGCGGAAAGAACTGCGAGTAGATACACTTGAAAGTTTCCTCTCTCACCACTCCCGTGGGACATTCTGCCTTGAAGCCGCGATATATTCTTTTCAGCTCGGCCTCGGTGAATCTCGTAGCTCTACAAAGGCTTGCCAAGGAATCCGGTCGGTACCGTGGCGTTTGCTCCTCCTCGTACTCCGAATCTGCCAATTTCAAATCGACGATTTTCCTTTTAATCCCAGCGACTCGACCTTTTTTTTTTAAATAACCTTCGAGCACGGTGCAGAGAAGAAGAACATTTATTACATGCGACGAGAAACATTCACAGGCAGAATTAATCGGGACGCATGCAGAGAGTTGTCACGACCTAAAATTCAGTTTCTATCGTAAACTGATTTGTTTACCATTTCTTTTGATTACATTGTTTTATTAATTATTTTGTAGCATTGCTGAAGCGCTGTCTCTTTGCGTTTTGCGATTTTTGGTTGAACGAATGAAATGGAGGTTAACATTATTCGATGGAAACTTCTGTACATCTTCAAGAATAGGGACAATATAAAAATTTGTTTATGGGATTAATTGAGCCAATGGATTTTATAGTATAGAAGGATTTAGGTTAAAATTGATTCGAATTTCTGGTTTATGGATATCTTCAAGGATAGGGACAATATAAAAATTTGTTTCTAGAATCAATTCAGCCAATGGATTTTATAGTATAGAAGGATTTAGGTTAAAATTGATTCGAATTTCTGGTTTATGGATATCTTCAAGGATAGGGACAATATAAGAATTTGTTTCTAGAATCAATTCAGCCAATGAATTTTAGAGTATAAAAGGATTTAGATTAAGAAATTGATTTGAATTTCTCGTTTACGAATATCTCCAAGAATAGGGATAATATAGACATTTGTTTATAGAATTAATTCAGCAAATGGATTTTATAGTATAGAAGGATTTAGGTTAAAATTGACTCGAATTTCTCGTTTTCGAATATCTCCAAGAATAGGAACAACATAAAAATTTGTTTATACAACCAATTCAGCCAATGGGTTGTATAGTATAAAAAAGGATTCAGGTTAAAATTGACGCGATTTTCTTGTTCACGAATCATATGAAATTATTGCTAAGATGCTGCGCGTTTCAAGACGAGAAATTAACGCGACGTTCAAAAATAGACAGAGAAAGGATACGAATTTGTATCGAGAAATTGTTTATGCTGTTCGAAGCGTTCGCTTGAATCGATAGATATAGCAAGCTACTTAGAACGAGTGCAGAATTGAGTGACTTGTGTCGCCTCAAAAATGAATTTCTACTGCAAGCTTGCTTTTAATAATTTCTTCTAATTTTATATTCTGTTATTTATGTTATATTATTGCCTGAAAGCAATTTTCGTGTTACAGCTCTAGCAAGTAGACAAGCTTAAACGAAGTTTAACACGTTTCTGGTTCAAAATGTACCAAAACCGCATAGTTATTCATGAAACCAATGGATCGTATAGACTCTATATTATAAATTATATAATTATATAAATCTTATATTACAAAATCTATATAAAAGGTTTCTGGTAGAAAAAAAAAGAAAAAAAAAATATACGAATGTTATATCACCAAATAATTTTTAAATAATACAAAATAAAACAATTCCGCGGTTCCAACGCGAGAAGCAGACGATCTAAAAATAGACCGACCTTTTAGCGTAGTACGACTTTTTATCCGGGAACTGTACCGCGCATCTTGGAAGAGTCCGCTCGAATCCACAGATTCGGCAAGTTTCTCGGAGCGAGGACGAAATTATGTCGCCGGGAACGGGTTTTGCGCGGGCCGCGTGCGATAACCAATGCAAAGATATATCTTGGTTTTCAGTTACGGAATTCCTGTATTGCTCGCACGAGTGGAATACGCGGTCCCGCGGTGCACGATGCGCCGCACATCATAAACTTGAGCTGTCTGAGCTTGACTCGCGGCTAAATTGGGCTTCTCCGGCTCCGCTTTCATTGTCAAGGAAATCAGGATGCTAAGCATGACCTGACTTACTGCCTGCTGCGTCGAATGCGAGCGACTCAATCATCTCTGTCTCTCGCTATCGTCCGCTAGCCGGTGTCGTGCAACGGGGCACAAGGATCGCGAAACGTTTGATCGTTGTTCCGTTTCAATACCCAGAAGTCGTTTCGCGATCAGAAACGGTTTTAAGCCTTCGGAATACCGAAGGATATTGTGAGACTCTTAACGCGCTGCTTTGCTGTTTCGTTCGCGAGGATGTGTGCCGAGAAATTCGGTTGACATGCAGCTTCGATTTTGTACACGTCGAGCGCCATTTTCGTTTCGCAGATACAGTAATTTATCACAGAAATGTTCGGAATTGAAATCGGCAGATCTGAGAATACTAACTCGGGACAGTCGACAAAAAAAAGGTAGCGGCAGCTAATTTGTTACCACGATTCGAAGGCAATTTAGAGGCCATGTGACACGATTCGAAGGCAATTTGGAGGCCACTTGACACGATTCGAAGGTAATTTGGAGGCCACTTGACATGATTCGAAGGCAATTCAGAGGCTAAGTGACACGATTCGAAGGCAATTCGCAGGCCACGTGACACGATTCTAAGACAATTCAGAGATCACGTGACACGAATCGGAGGTAATTCGAAGGTAATTCAAATGCAATTCGAAGGCAATTCGAAGGCAATTCGAATGCAATTTGAAGGCAATTCGAATGCAATTCGAAGGCAATTTGAATGCAATTTGAAGGCAATTCGAAGGCAATTCGACGGCAATTCGGAGATCACATGACACTATTCGGATGCAATTCGAAGGCAATTCGGAGGTCACAGGACACAATTCGGAGGAAATTCGAAGGCAATTCAGAGGCCACGTGACACAATTCGAACGCAATTGGGAGATCACATGACACAATTCAGAGGAAATTCGAAGGCAATTCAGAGGCCACGTGACACAATTCGAAGGCAATTCGGAGACCACGTGGAACGATTCAAAGGCAATTTGAAGGTCACATGACAAGTCACGTTCAATTCGGAGTCCACGTGACACGATTCGAAGGCAATTCGGAGGTCACGATTCCACGAAGATTGGTCACGTGCCTTATAGCTCCGCGGTTCTTCGACGTAGCAATAAATTACATAGGCGTAGGACCAGCACAGGGAAATTCACGGCAACCCGAAATTTCGCATTTCCGGGCGAAATTACACAGTCATGTAAACTGTGTTGTACACAGTCACGGTAAAAGAGAATCTTTTCGGAAGAAACATATCCCGCATTCCCCAAAGATGGTCTCAAGGATTACACTGAGTCGCACGAAATGTCACCTTACGTTGCAGAAACCACCCGAGGGAAGCACAAGAAGATAACGTAAAACCCGCTTCAAGAGACATCCTGAAGGACATAGAAACCATCCAGAATCTTCTGCGCTACTCTATTATCTATTGATCGAGGCGATGATCTACGAGTCTCCGATAACTATTTTTGCTTATCGACTTTTCAATTTGTCACATTTTCGAGTAAACCTGTGTTCGGTATTCCATTTGCTATTCCATCGAGAATGAATGTAAAAATTGCACTGATACGCATACGTTTCGACCGATATTCAATATGAAAGGTAGAAATGTTGCTCGAAGTGTTAACAATGTCTTCCGTTTCGGATAAAAGTATCGATTCGATCGGAAGGAAGCGGCGTTCACAATTTCACGTTTGCGTTGTTTCTCAGGAAGTTCGAGGAAATACGGTGTAAATTTCTTGCTGGAACGTTGTTCACGGCGGACTACCGCGATACTGATTTACACTAGCAATATTTACGAAACATAGACCCATCTAAGCTGTCCAAAATGTTATCTATGTTATATACACCGCCGTGTCTGATCCTACACGATACATTACCACTGGCACGGATAGTAGTACACGGTATAATGATACCGTTACAATGGATCGCACTCTCGATATGAAACGATTGAGCGCGAATTAATGCGGCACGAAATATTTTCGAAATTACGTTCCGTCGAATCCTAACTGTCGATCATTCGAACAGCTGATTCTCGTCCCTTCGCGCGTCACGGCGCGTCAAGGATTTGAGCCGTTTATTTTGAAAGTGGCACAAGTCACTTTACCGTAATGAAAAGTGGTGATTTTTTCATGTTTATACGAAATTATTTATACCGAGAAAAATATCAGTATTCTGAGATAATAAATACAAGTAAATCTTTTCGAAAGTTAGCATCCATATTTTTAAATGTGTTAAAAACGCAAACCCTTAAATATATCGACTTAAAAACAAAGTGACTTATGCCACTTTCAAAATAAACGGCTCATTTATCGTTTGTGGAACGCGAAATAGTTGTTGGCTTCGGATCGTTTCGTGTGCAAGGAAATCAATGCGTTCGTTCGGATTCTGAAAATTCTATTCGAAGACAGTGTACAGTGTATACGTTTAACCCTTTCGGTACGAGCGCCGGATATATCCGGCATCCATCTGGTCACCTGTGTGGCCGAGATCATTTGAAGCAACTTTTTCCTCAGCGAAAATATTCTACGAGGCTTCGTTCACGACTTATCGACGAAAAACAGTGACCAATGAGAGGCGAGCTCGATTGGCGCGAGGCGGCCGAGCCAACGAGCGCGCGAAGCCCAGATCCGCTGATTGGCTCGGCTGCCTCGTGCCAACCAAGCTCGTCTTTGATTGGTCAGCGTTTTTCGTTAATAACTCGTGAACGAGGTATCGTAGAACATTTTCGCTAAGGAAAAAGTTGCTTCAAACGACCCCAGGAACCCCTCGTTTCCCGGAAATACCATAATTTTAGGACACCCTGTATACCGGCATCCATCCGACGACCGGTATGGACAAGTGCCGAATACATCTGGCATTCGTGCGAGCCGTATTTCTGACATATTAGAAATTATTCCAACAAAGTCTTTTCTTACAAGGATTCCGAAAAAACAGCTACACGTATAATCGTCGTTTGATCTGAATTGATTTACAAAATTTGAGGTTACATTTTTGTTCGAAACTTGTTCATAGATTTTAACATATTGTAGGCCCTTTACAGATCGTTTACAGGAGACAAAAGATTTAGAAACGGATCAAGCACAGTTATGACTTAAGAAAATCTTCGCATTTTCGGCGCGGCACCCCGTACAGTGGAAGTGTCACGGCTGACAGCGCGCTCCTACCGAAAGGGTTAAATAAAAAATTGATGC